TTTTATTAAATACCAATGCTAACTAACATTTACCTATCACGAAAAAAGAAATTTTTAATTGTTGTTTTTATATATTGTTAAATTTTTATTCAAAATTTCATATTTTAAAAATTAAAAAATCAAATTAATTTTATAATAGAGTAATTCATTTTAAGAAATATCTCATTTGCACATAAAAAAAAATGAAAAATGAAAAAAGAAGGTATATTCTTAATCTTCAGGTTGTATTCAAAGATACATATATTCTGTTCTTATCGTTAATGAATCCTTAGGACTCCATCTAAATTCGAGAGCTCTAGACCATCATTAAAGAAAATTGCATCGTTTGATCATGAGAAGACGACGTTTCCTTCCAATCCAAGAAGTCATCCATGGAGGATCGCCAGAGACAGCTTGGTAACCAGCATTTGTATACAGTCTTCGAGCGCCCAAATCATCTTCATAAACCCGGAGGGCAAGACACTGGAAACCCCAAAGAAACGCGAGTACGTCGCAAGCTTTCAGCAGGGAACTCGCAATCTTCCTCCTCCTGTTAAATACAGAGCCCACCGTCTCAGCATTGATATAACAAGAATGACCTGAACTCACTGAATTGAATCAATTGATATGCAAGTGAGATTTGCGATCAAAACCTGTAGCTTTTAGAAACGGCGAGTCCAGAAACATAAAGATATTCCTCTGCTCCCTGCAGGTGTCGAAGAACTACCTCGTCTCTTAACGCCGTGACATCAACCACGCCGACGAGTTTCCGCCGCGAATCGGAAGCGTCGGTGGGAGACTCCGCCACCAAACACGCGTACCTGTTAAGAGAATTACCTCAATTTTAAATTTAATTTGTCACAATTTAAAATTTCCTTTTTATTTACATAACTAATGATCATTTTTTTATTAAAAATAAAAAACTCTAAATACCAATTATATAACATGTGAATGCAATAAAATAAAATATAAAAAATAAATACCTCTTACAGTAAAAATTTATATATTATTTTTTCTAATATGGTACATGGAACCTTTAGGTCAAGAAAATTTATAATATAAAAATTAAATTATTAAAATTAATAAATATGTTTAATCAAATATTATATTAATTATTTTTTATTAAGGAAAAAAAAGGGAAATATTAGTGCATTTTTCATGGCTGGAAAATTACCTGCTTGGAGGTGAGTTCCTGAGCTTGTAAATAAGTCCAGATAGCACTTCTACCTGTTTGTTTAATTTACGCAGAAAACAAGAATTTCAAAGTTTTGTTTTAGTAATTGTATTTATTTATTTTTGCTTGGAATCAGAATCTGTTTGATTCTTGAATATAAAAAGAGAGAAAGTTTCACCTGAAAGAACTCAAAGAATAGATCATCGAAGATGGCGGCTGGTTGGTGGAATGCTTCTGCTTGAATTTGCGCTACTTTCCTCATTTCGACTTCATCCTCCAGCAACCGCCGCACGTTCCATCCATACTCGCTCAGCAAATACACCAGCTGATCTGCCTCTGCTCTGTCTTCGGTCGTCCGTCCGATTTCCTCCTGATCAATATCTCCAATCAACTTCACGGCCTCCGGCGACGAGGTGGCTGCAGGAGAAGAAGTGCTGCAGCACCGCACCGGAGGAGAACTCGTTGGAAAAGAAGTCCTCGACGCTCTGTTCAGGCTTCGCCGGCAATTACTCGTTGGATTATTGCTTGTGTTTCTCTTCCAGGGATTTGTGGAAACAAAGGAGTAGCTGGGTAGTAAGTGAGCCATTTATTTATCAGTTAAATTTTTTGAATGGGAAAGAAAAGTTCATAATGGATCATTCATCTTGTCTTGCAACTCTCACTCCTCTGCCTCCCTCAGAAATTTGAAATGAAACGGAAAAAAAATAAATGAAAATATTCTAAAATAATTATGAGATTGTAGTTTGAAAAAGAAGAAATAAAAAAAAAAAAGGAGGAAAGGAAGAGAAATGAGAAGAAGATATGAGGGGGAAGATAAGCATTATGATTATGCACAAGTGGTGGTATCTGGCTGTGAGCTCAGAACCATGGATCGTGATTTTACGTGGTGGCTGCGCAGCCTAACGTGTGGACTCTGTGAACTTATGTGGGTCCATAACTAGTTACTGAACATTTAACCCAAAACCAAAAAAAGAATCTCACTGTTTTTGCTTAAACACTGTGGTTGTGTACCCCGCACAACTTTAGTAATATTTGGTAAAGTTGGTAAAAAGTTTTTTTACTTAAAAAAAATTTACCTGTATTAAATATTATAATTTATAATACTTTTTATAAAATAATTTAGTATTTATTTCATTACAAAT